TGAGCCATCACATTTAGGGAGACAGCGCGTGCAGGCAGATGGAAGGACAGTAGCACTTGATGCTTTTAAGCCCGAACTTTAATCCTATGCAGAGCAGCTCTGGGTGGGAAAGCAGCAGCAACGCCGGAGGGTCCTGCCCCCCCGTCCCGCTGCTGCTACCAGGGGTGCAGCTCTGGCAGCCACACGGGCTTCCCCATTAAAACCAGGGCTGGGACCAGCGGCGTTTCACCCGCCAGCCCTCTCTGTCTTCTGAGCAAAGCAAAACCTGGCGTATGTGGCAGCCAGTCCTTCCCTTCAGAAACGAGCTGTCCCGGCTGGAGAGCTGGGAGCAACCAGCTGGATTTTGTCCAAAGAGCCTGGGCACAGAGCAACTGGCAGAAGCGTTAAGGGAAGAAATTTGCTCGGCCAAGTGGCAACGACTCAATCCTTACTGGTGCATCTCCGGCACCCGGCGTGCCCGGGGAGGGATGCAGACAGCACCCCGAAAGCTGCGCCTTTCCAAAGCACCTTTTTCCCAGGCAACTCAACAGGTATTACGATCAGATACCGTAATATCATCAGTTAAGGTTTACATGTTTTTAAAGAAACTACTGGTAACCTGATGGTACTTCTGCATCTGTGGGATATAGTGGGATTTATTCCAGGTTTGGCTTTTCTGACAGGATGTGGAGTGTTATTACAAAGGCACAGGTATCAAATAAAACCAGCAACATTCTTTTAATTAAATATCCCAATAAAAAATTAACGCTCAATTTAGGCTTTATGTATTCCTCCCTTATTAAGAGATTAGTTTTGTGGGTTTTTTTCCGCCCCTCTGGAAAGGTTTTAGTGCAGTGATTATATAGCAACAGAAAAATAAACTAAAAAAGGCACAAACTGTTTTGTGGTTTTTTTTTTTCTTTCAACTTTTGCTAACACTTTATATTTGTCTATTTTACTTCGGTTAATAAATCACTGAATGCAGCAAGAAAATATTCTGCCAATTTCTGTACACTATACAAAAACCCCTACCAACAGTACATTATTTCAGCTTCAGGAGAAATGTACAGCATAGAAAGACTTTTAAAAATATAGTGCCTCATACAGAAGTTTTGTTAATTAAACTCACGGTCTCTTGCTACAGTGCCCTTCACCTTCCTCATTTTCCCCCTTATTGCTGGGACACTCGCTGGGTCTCTGCCCCCCCGGCTCCTTACTGGCCAGACCGAGCCCAGCACCGAGCGCAGCACCAGGGTCGAGCCAAACGGCTCCTGCGCCCCAGCGTCGGCACGGATGGGGCGAGCCCCCTCCCCACTCATTCAGCGTCGCCGGACGCGTCTCAGTGCTGGGAAAGGTTTAGGTCGGAGAGGAAAGGGCAGCGCTCGGTACGAGCGAGGCGCAGGCAGCGTCCCACGCGCGAGTCCGTGCCGCCTGCCCCCCGCCGCCTCCCCTGCGGGGCTCTCCCACTGACGCTTCCGTTGTGTTTGCAAGTGCAAGCGTGGTTAACACGTGCTCTACCCTTTCATCAAGTTCATCGTGATGGGTGTTGGTTCCTTCTCCCCACCTGCATAATACTTCATAAAATAGTAACTTTTTTTTTCCACCCAGGAACTAAATTGAAGGGGTTTTCCCTTTAAATTCCCTTGTATTGAGAGCTGGACCCCTCCACCCACCAAAAATTAAGTGCAGCCAGAAATTATTTTCCTCATACTTCTGACACCACATTTTAAAAATTAAAACCTACCGATCTCTTTTTTTCCCCCCAAGACGTAATTCATGCAAAGTCATTATTTGTTTAAATAAGTTATAAAAGTTGATATCTCAGGCTAGAAGAAGCTGTAGTCTTGGTTATTCTTTAGTTGGCAGGCACTGTACATACATACCGGGTACAGACACATGCCGAATCTGCTTTGCATTGCTTTTTGCATTGTACAATTCACAAATCTGACATCATTAAAGCAGTTAATTACCTTTGATGGAAGGCTGCAGTGAGGCCATCTACATTTATCAAACAAGCAGCTGGTTAAGATAGTAAGTACGCTCCCCCCCACCCCAGTGCTCCCCAAAATGCTATTATCTGTCACACGTTGCTTCTCTGAAGTGGTTAGATTTGGTGCGCACATTAATGTGCAAATGTGTTGCCATAGGAACTGCAGCCTCCATTACGCCTCAATGACACCATTCAGCAAAAGCCAAAATTAAAAATAACAACAACAACAAAACCCCCCAACCCTTACAAATAAAATAAAAGACAAACAAATTAAAAAAAAAAACAAAACAAAACAAAAAAGGCAGCAAAGAGAAAGTCCAACGCGCATGCGGAGTCTGGCCCAGGACTGCAGGTTACGCGTGGCTAGGGAGGAGCGCGGGAGATATTTAGGTTTGATCTTAACTTCACACTATGGTACAACGGGGCTCAGAGTTCAGCCGGTCCGAGTCTGTGCTGGCTTAGGAAGGGGCGGGGGGGAGCGGAGTCGTGGTTACCGGATGCACCCAGGGTCTCTCAGACATTTGGCAGAATGAGGCACATCCAAAAAAACAAAAGTGCAACACCAGTGCCGTGGCGGCGGTACGATGTGTTTGAGTGCGTGCACGCGCTTTCCTCTTCATGCATCGTAGCAAGCGGGTTGGGGCGGGGGGGCTTGCCCCTGCCTCTTCTTTGAAAACTATTAACCAGTAAATAACGGTAAGACGAATGCATATTCTACTTACTGGTGCATGAAATACTGAAAACCGCATTCAAGTAATATTTCTGCGCTATCATGAATGCATCACTATGTTATCTTACATTTGGAAGAGGAGAAGACTATGTACACCAGAGCGGTGGAACTATTTTGCAGTTAAGTTTCTGTGCTTTACGGAGGTACCTGGGAAGGAGAGGCCGCCGCTCCGCGCCCCGCCGGGTCGCAGGACTCCCAGCGCCACCACCTACAGCGTGCGAGGAAGGAGCGCTGCTCGGCCGGACCATCGAGCTGCACGGAGCAAACCAAAAGATGACATGAGGGAACAAAAACTCAACCCAAAATCGGCAAATCAACAGTGACGAGAAATAGAAGGGAAATTTATTATTTTTTGAAGGGGGAGGAGGAGAAAAAAAAATATTTTTTTTCATTTGGTTAGTTGGGGTTTTTTTTTTTTATTCTTCCCGCAGCTGCAGGCGGTAGCGGTGGTAGCGGAGCTGGAAAAACATTCTCTCCAGTAAGGAGCGCGTCATCCCCGGCAGGGCGTAATGTTCGACGACACCCACGTGCTTGAACCCCAAGGACTCATAGAGCTTGTGGGCTGCCATCTTCACGGCCGTGGTTCCCAGCACGACGGAGGAGTAGTTGTTGAGCATGGCAAACTCCAGCACTTTGCGGCCCAGGGCCTTGGCGATCCCTTTGCCGCGGTAGTTGGAGTCGACGGACATGCGGCGCAGCTCCACTGTGTTGTCCTCCTCGTTGCCCCGCGCCCCGCCACGATCCCCACCACGTTGCCGTCCAGGACGGCGACCCAGAAGCAGGAGCCTGCGGGAGACAAAGCAGCACATGTAGCTGCCGGCTGCCAAACGGGCAAGGCACCCACTTACGAACGTGCTGACGGGAGCCGGGCTTGGGGTCGCACGTGGGGACTAATGACCTCCACAAATAAGGACCGAACTTCCTTTTCCCTTGACATTGTGAAAGGAATGTTGTTTTCTAGAGGACAAGGCACAGGAAAGTCACTACGAACCAAAATGTAAGGTCCCCAGGGAGCAAGCGCTACAGCGCGCATCTGGCGGCCATCACAGACGGGTAATGGTCCCCGGCCCCGGGCAGAACTACGGTCTGCAGAGCTCCTGCGGGGCCGGCCGCACGTGGGCAGGGAGCCCACGGAGGAGAAGCGCAGGGTGGTGCACAAAGCATCCTTGGTGTTTGGGGAGGGCAGGATCCGACCCAGATGGCAGCGAGGGGAGGGCGAGCTGAGCCCCTTTCCCTGGTGCGGTGGCAAGAGGCAGGGAGCCAGCGTGGAGCAGGACGAGAACAGGAGCCCCTGTGCCAGGGCACAGCAGGGCTGGGACACGGGGAGGTAGCGGAGCCTCCCTCGCTCTGGGAAACCTGTGTCTGCCATGGCCAGACACCCAGCCATGGTCCCAACGTCTTGCTGGGACTCATAGGGACGTTGCTTTTTGGGTGCATTGTACCCTGAGGGCTCAGGGCTCCCAGGGAAAGGGGCAAAGCCACCCAGCCCTGGGCACCCAGGCACCGGTGCAGCCATTTCCCCTCCTCAAATCTCAACACCTGCCCACGACTGCAAACAGCATGCAACAGAACATGGGAAACACTCTGGAAGAGAGACGTCACGGGAAAGGCAATCCAGCGCAGAGAAATTGCTGCAAGCCCCCAGGAGCAGAGGAATACCGTCCCTCTTCCCCAGGGACACCCTGCCCTCGGCCAGCACCCAACGCTTGTTCACAGCCATGACCGCAGCCTTGCCAGACAAGCAGGGCTGGCCGCGGCGCCCGTGGGGAGCCATGAGCGCTGCTCCGCGCACACCGGGACAGCACGAGGACCTGGCCTTCCCACAGCATCTCCTGTCAGCCCCTTCTCCAACCCACGGGGCCTGGCTTGGATCCGACCTCCCCCCGTGCACGTCTGGATATGCGGGAGCATCGTCCTTTTGCGGACTTCAGGGGCTCAGCGCAGGACTTGCCCAAGACCCTCTCAAACAGAAAATCCAAACTGGCCAGCAAGATGAGAAACTAGAATCACGAAAGCCAGCGAAGCACGAACAGGGGAAAATACCATATACACGCCCCAGAAAGAGCATCTCCTGTGCACAGCCAAGATCAGGCTCCTCCATCCCTTTTTCCCTGCAGTTTGGGGTGCTCATGGCCAGACCCCCCCTTGCTTTGGAGCTGCTGCTCTGCTGGTGTGTACCACGCAAGAGCATCTCGTGAGCTGGAAATGTGGTGCTCAAGCAACTCTGGCCAAAACCATGTGGAGTTCCAGCGAGCAAAAGCAGCCCATCCTTGTGCCCTGGCAGCAGTCAGCTGGCAGTGCGGCTCCAGGAACGAGGACGCAGCTTAAAAAACAGGCTGCGCTTTTGGGGGGTCAGCACCGCCGCTCTGCAGTGGGGCTGAAGGCTAGGCAGGGCCGATGCTGCCTTCAAGAGGCCGAAGCAAAACCCAGCTAATCAAAGCCCAGCAGCCTGAAGAGCACCCAGTCGGGCTCAGGGCAAGCACCCCAGCGTCTCAAGTGCTCCGACCACAGCCCCAGTTATGAAGATCAAATAAAACGACCTCGCTGGAGAGAGGTACCGATATCATCCCATCCCACTGCTCATAACGGCCAACAAACATTCAAGCCGATGCAATTAGAAACTGCTGTAACTCTGGCGTATCACAGCACCACTTGGCTAGGACCTAAAGGTCGCCAGCAAGGGGACCTAAAAAAACCCCAAACCCACATGAAATTCAAGTAACAAATTACTCGGCTCTTCACTAAAGATCTTTACAGAAAATCCTTCACAGGAAAAGTGTCTTGAATTGAACTGAAGAGACCGATACTGTCACCACAGAGCAACTGCGACCTTAGCTTGGATACTCCGTAATTAACACTGAGGAAAGCCACTATTCCATTACGGCAGCTAACGAGGAGCACTGACAGGTCTCTTGCCAAGAAGGAAAGCGCTGACTTTCAGTGCCCAGGAGGAACATGGCTTCATCCGGAGGAAGAGGATCCCATCACAGGAGAAACCCCTGCCGCAGGCAGCAGCCTTCCTCCCCAGTGGCAGAAGAAAACCTGGCTTGGGCAGCAGCTCCATCTTCATCATCAACGCTGCCAACCGCCCCAACCCAATGCATGACACGTCTCTAAGGATCGGCATTAAACAGCCTGGGTGGGTGCTCAGGGATGCACCGCACCGCACCGCTCCCCCTGAAAAATGGGGCAGCAGGGGAGATGGATAAGGCAACTTGGAGTCCTTCGTTACCGGAGAAAAGCAAAGCACAGGGCAGCGGGAGGTGCCTTCCCGGCTGCTGCCTGCAGGACAAATGCACCTTGCGACTCAGCGAAGCCATTGGAGATGGCCGAGTTCTTCCGCACTTCCCGGCGGAACAGCCCAGCTGCCGAGGAAAAGCCAGGTACAAACAAAGCGCGGGGAACCAGCCCGGCTTCAGCCCCGCACACCGGGCTCGTTCCCACCTTCAGAGCGACGCGCAGCTCCAGCGATGCTCGCTTTTGCTCCTACTGCAAGTCATTATGCTGTCGCTATCTAGGTCGACGGCTAATTTTTAAAACACGGGGACCCATCTTGACCCATTTATCACCAGCAGTTAAGATGTCTCTCCTCCACTGCTGCACTGGCAGCGTGACTTGTTCCCCTGCATCTCAAAACGTAATTTATTCAGACACAAGCCCAGAAGACGACCTACAAGCGCCAAAACCCAGCAGCCGCCTTCCCCCCAAATACAAGTCGCAGGGCTGAGAGCTCACCGCGCTCTGCTCCGCAGCCTTGCTTTTACACCGCTCATCCCGCGGTGGCTCTGCCCAACACACCCCCACAGCCCACCCATCGCGCCTCTGGCCGCACGGCAAGCGCACCACGGGGCTGTGGTGATCCTCATCCCTAACAAGCACAGCCACCAATTTTGGCTGCCGTGGCACAACCCAAAATGGGGATTGGTGAGTCCTGCTATGTCCGGGGAGAAGAAATGAGAAACAGCTCCTGGGGATGCTCCCCCGGGCACACACGGTGCCGGCCCTGGCACCCTGCTGGGTCCTGAGGCAGCCCCAAAAAGTGCCAGAAT